TGATCGATATAATTTTGGCATATTAGTCACTATTATCTTGTTCATTAGTATTTCTTAAGATATAACACGATAATCAAATGATAAATGTTAGATAATATAATACTAATACATAATAGAGCAAAAAATTAAATTTTTTCAAAATCTTCCCACGAATAGACATCTAACAAGAATATAATCCTAAATTGTTGTGGTTTTTTAGTTATGTTTCAAAATGAACGCGGTCATGTCGCAGATAGTATTCGCTGTGTTCCAAGTATCGTGCCCTGCGATCCACTACACGGTTTTGCCCTCTCTTCAAAGCTAGTCCTCATCGAGTGAATTAATCAACTCTCCCCCCCCCCCCCCCCCCCCCCACGCCGAAAAAAAAGAAACCTGGAATAGACTTCAAGCGAATTCACGTTTTTTCCACTACATTTCAGGGGCGTATGCATGCATCAGTACTGTCGCAGAACAATGCGTGCGCCATCTTGAAAAATGAGACCGGAATCACTATGTTGTGCCTTAGAACACAATTCGTAGTTGCTAAGTCAACTAATCTATCATTATATCGTATAATAATAACTTGACATTAGCTGAAAAGTTTTTAAATCCTTTAGGAGTTATAATTTAGTGTTTCGGACGGTCCCACTTTTCAAGATGGCGGACGCATTGTTCTCCGAAAGTACTGATGCATGTATGCAGGCGAGATGATTCACATGGATTCAGTAACAGCAACAGTAACTCAGATGTATTTTATGTTCATATTGCTTTATTTGCAAGCCACCCATATATCCTATTTCTAAACTTCTTGGTGGGAGTAGCGGGAATATTTCTGTGCTTTGATTTCGCTCTTCTTTGCATTTTTTGCCTGTGAATTTTTCTAATGTTATCATTTTTAATGATTAATATTTAAGGAAAAAATGTTTCATCACATATATTTTAGCGGTTTTGTTTTTATTTTTCGCGCGCTTATGGATTTCCTGTGGTGTGATGGTACACGGATGGACGGAAACGTTCGTACGCCGGGATTCCTGTGTCGGTCCATGAAAAATCGACTCGATGGATATACCATTTTTTCTTAGCTATGGTGCTCCGCTCGCGCGGGTCTTCGGCCAACGCGGGATCTCCGCTATTATTTTGAAATAAGGGATCAGAATTTTGGCTTTGGAATCGGATCTAGAATAAAACCACTCAGACCGGGATTAAATTCAACAAATATTTGGCCCCAAAGAAGATAATTTGAAAGAAAAAACTAGGATCATGAAGACCACATTCATTAGCAAAAATGTATAGCATGCCAAAATGCTGCTAATTAGCCAATCACTATCAGATGATGAGCAGCAAAGTTGCATTCAAAACTCAATACAATTTTTGTCGTCATCGCGGGGTATTATGTTGTTTCCCCAAAAGAACATGAAGAGCTATAAAGAATACTAAGACTTATACTAATACTAAACTGATGTTTTCAGGGAATTTTGGTCCTTTT